TGGGACAAGGTTGTTTAGACTTTGGAATGCTAGGTTTGGGAGTTTTAATTTGATGTTTTCCATTTCTCTAAATGGAAAGTCACTTAAACTTTCTGAGGATAAATTTTTTTATCAGAGTAATAATGAAAAAACAAAAATGGAAAGGTCAAACTGGAGGGGTTTTTTTTCTTTCTTTTTTTAATGTGGGCAAAACATAACTAATGTTATAACTGCAGTGGTATTAGAAGAAAGGAAAGAGAATATGTATGTGAGAAACCCTGAAGAAATAGAGTCATTAGGATTTTAGAATGGAAGAGTTAAGAGAGAAGACAGAATTAGCTATCAAAATAGAAAAGCTTTTAACTCCAGGCAGCTTTGAGAATTGGAATATTAAGAAGATGAACTCCTCTGAGTGTGCAGGGGGAAGTATATTTAAAGCCTGTTGAACTTGAAGAAGCAGAATATTTAAGTGGAAATGTCTGAGGAATCACTGCAAATTGGGAAATGCAGAGTAAAACTCCAGAAAAACTAGCAAAGAGAATATTCTCCAAGAGAAACCTGAGGAATATTTATACATTATACATGAGAATTTTGAGAAGAAGCATCAAGGCGAGTTATATATTATGAGATTTAGAGGAAGCAGTATTTTTAAAACGAATGAAATGACCCATTGTGTTGCCCTCTACAGTGAAACCAAAGAAGGTGGGACAAAGAGGAGAGAACTGTTTGACTATTGGAAAGTCTGTGTTGATAGAATAAGTTCAGAGAAGTAGGGAAGAAACCCAGATAAAAAGGAGTTAAGAAATTAGTACTTGGTGAGCAACTGGAGGCAGCAAATCATGTACCATGCTTTCTAGAATGTTTACAATTCAAGATTTAACTAATCAGACAATCCTTGAAAGAGTTCTATCTAGCCAGAAAACAGAGTTGTCATTGAAGCTTAGAGTACTGCACACGTTAGGGCGACTGGAAAGTAAAATATTCTGAGGGGGTCATTGAGAATTTACGACACTGGTACAAAATGAGACTAAACAGGAAGTCATGACCTTAGAAGTATTGCTAAGAAATTATAACTTTCCCTCGAGTAGAAAGAATTACAGGACCCTAAGCAGGGGAGTGCTATTTATCTCAGTCAGTCACAAGATTAGCCAAGCTATTCCCTTAAGTTTACGCAAAAGGAGAAAGGCAGAGAAAATGAACACAGTCAATTGTCAACCATGGGACAAAAATCTATGTCTGTTTCTTCTAGTTTTGAAATTTCTGAACCCTCCAAGGATGGGAATTATGAAACTCATAAATACCCTGAATTTTAGGTTTATGTCATAGCCTGCCTCTAACTTAAAAAAAAAAAAAAAAAACAGTCTGGGTGATCTCTTAAGTTAAAGTAAGAGCAACTGTAAAAATGGTGGGAACGATTATTCATCGTACAAGGGACTTTATTTAGATCTGAGGCGTAAACCAGTATGACTCTGAGCAAGCCAATGGGCACGAAAAGGAAGGATGCTCAACAGAAAGGGCAGCATGGAACAGAGAGGCTCAAGGGAACTCCTCCCTGCATTTGAAGATATTGAATAATCTCTCCACAGCAGTAGAAAAAAATCCTCTCGCTGGAAAACAGCATGAATAAAAAATGACTGACTACGGTGCAAAGTAACCAGTCACTGGGGAATGATTTGCCTATATTACTAGCTTACAAAAATGGGCAAAATAAAATATAATCTTACACTCATTTCATTTGTTAGCACTTTCTGAAGAAGCACTTTAAATCCTGATGTGTATCAAGAATAAATACATCAATGTAGCTGTGCTATACATTTTATTGAATCCTATATGATGTACCAACACCCATAAATTTCAATTGCCACCCAGAGGGGAAAATCATCAGTTGTGAAAATAAACACTTTTAAAAATTACTGTGGGCTGGTTATTAGGGACAAACTTTCCTAAAATAAATGATCACACTTCAAATTCATGACCCCAAACTGTTGCTCTTCTTAGCTGTGAGATGGGCACCCACCAGCAGCTGTGTGTTAGGAGAAAGATACCTTTTTAAAGATCTGTTAATTTAACTTATGTAAATTAATTGGCTGAAACACAAAGTAATCGTGTACAATTTTACCATTTGGACGGCTTTATTCACTGAAAAGTCAGGTGTTGAAATACATTTAAAGATTTGTTTTTCTGTTCTCTGCTGGTGTGATGTGGGCAGATTCTCACTTGTTAATTATATTGTGTATCAAAAGTAGAAAAACTAAATTGAAAGAAATAAAATATTCTATAAGTATTTTTTGCATGGAAGCTTATGCCCACAAAGAAATACGGCACTTGCTGTCCCAAAACTTGCTCTGTGCTAATCGCAACCCCACAGTCACAAATTATTATGACAGAATTACTTCCTTTTGCAAATGCTGCTTTCTACTGTAATAAAAACTCTTATTACTCTACTGTCAGTATTCATCATTATGCAATAGCTACTTAAAGACACCTACCCAGAAACTCTCTAGAAAATTGTAACAAACCTTGACTCGTCATTTCAGAGAGCCAACATTCCAAGATAAAGTACTGACACCACTTAATGAACAATTCAGAATTGCTTATTTTTCAAACTATGCATGGTTGCAAATTCCAGCTTTACAACTATTCTTACACATAACACTAAGTTAAAAGACTAAATTTCAACTCACCAGTTACTCCTAAAATTTATAATGATGTGTACTTGTGAGAAACTGTGATTTCACAATTACTATTTCATAGACCTGATTCCTCAAACATGTTAGACATATAGAAGTTTACACCTCTTTTAAAAAACATTATGAATCTGCATCTTTTCTATGGATTTTAAACATCAAAATATACTTTTTAAATTCCTATTCTGATTTACATTTGGCATACTAAATATTGAATAATTTATAAATATATGTAAAGTTATCAAATTAGATATCTTTTTATACCTATTTCCAGATTCTAGTATTCTTGAGAACCCTGACCTACTAACACTGTCTGTCTAACCAACCCAGTTTTATGAGAAAGTGGATTAGCTAGTACCCAATGAAGTGATATGAAGGGTGATTTCTCTGAGATTTATTTGGTATGCTATGTTAACATAGCAGAAAGCTCCATAGATGGGAGCTGCATTGTGAGTTCAGGAATATTAACCAAGTCATATTATAAATTATACATCTTTACATTCCTATGTTATTTAAGCCTTATCTCCCACATTCATTTTAGAGGTCAAGAAATTTTATACAAAAGTTTATTTATAAATAAATAGTGTCAGACATGTATGAGACTTTGGACAAAAATTGAGTCAAAGAAAAATAGGGCCTATTTTGTTGAAGTTTAATGATCACAACAGATATTTATTAATCCAACCAATGCAGAATAATACAATTAGATAGTTGATTCTTTGAAGCAATGTATAGGGAGCTATGAGAGCTAAAGCAAAGGGGTCTGATCTAGTTTCAGGGCACATGGCGTTTAAGTGGAGAAATGATATGTGAGCAGGAGTTAAACTGATAAAGGGATGAAGTGGGGTGAAATTCTCAGCAGAGGGATGAGCAGGCCAAATAGACTGAGCCTGATGGACATGCTGAGTACAATCTAGTGCAGGCAGTATAGGTAGTAAGAAGAAGAATATTTGCAGATGAGCCTGAGACATCCATAGGGTCTTAGATGTCAAGGCTAGGATCTTTGAGCTTTAACCTAATAACTGGCAAATGATTTTAAATGGGAAGGTAACATGACTAACTATAGCCACCTTTATGAAGATCACTGTGAATGCAGAAGTAAGTGGATTGGATAAGGAGGGCTGGGGTTGAGAAGGGATCATCTATAATTTTGTCAGTAAGAATGCTTAGGTGATTGTTATAGTAGAGTGACAATCTTGGCTAACCACATTGTTTTCTTCATTTCTCCAAGCTCTGAACACTGAATGACTCACGTCTCAGTAGCCTCTTTTCTTCTTTATGTATGCTTACTATCTAGATGCACTCACATCTCATGGTTTAAAAATCATAGATCATGATATCTCCCAAATTTGTGCCTAATCCATCAGCAAATCACATCCCCGATAAACACACAATCCAACCCTGTTTTGCCATCTCCACTCAACACCATGGTCCAAGTCACTAATTCCTCTTAGAACAGTTTGACAGCTTCTTAATTAATCTCATTTTGTCTACATTTCACCACTAAAGTGTATTTCAACAACAAAAACAAAAACAAATCATCTTATATCTTTTCCCATCTCAAAAACCCTCCGGTACATTTGAAATACATTCCAAATAAAATTTAATTTCCCTACTCTGGCACATTCTGTTTTCCACAAGGGCCTGCAATATTTACCATTTCACATGATCTTCGGGATCTTGCCACTTCTCCACTAAGAAACTAAATCCATATCTCTACCTCCTTGACTCCAGATGACTCAATGACTGGTTTGACCAAAAGAATAAGGCAGAAATGATGCTGTGCCAGTTCTAGAAATAGCCCTTACCTAACTCAGCAGCTTCCTCTCCCTGCTTCTTGGAATGCTCGATTTTAAAACTCTTGTTCTTGAAACACTCCTTTTAAACCCAGGCTCCATCTTACAGCTAGTTCACGACACATGAATAAGCCACACATAATAAGGCTGTTGTTTGAAAGTCCTAGATAAGCATCTAAGCATTAGCCTACAGCAGCCCAGCCAAGTGACATCTACATACCAGCTCAGATGAACTTTTGAATGAGTACAGGCCCACCTGACATCTGAGTAAACACACATAAGAAACGATGAGCATGAATACCACCTCCTAAAAAATGGTGATGTAGGAGAATCCACCTTCCCTGTCTCCCCACAAAGATCAATGATTGGACAGCTACCCAGGAACAAAAACTCCAGGCAACCTCTAGAGTTCACTTTGGAAGTTTTAGCACAGAAGAGAAAGAAGGCAATTTCATTTTACCTGCAGCCTCCCATCCCCCAAGCCATCATTGTTCAGTGTCAATAAGGAATTTCCCAGCTTGAAACATTTTTCTCTCACCAGAAAAAGAAGAGGTGGGTGAGCGATCAGCCTCTCCAGCCTCACATGCAGGGCACTATACGAAGGTTCAGCTTCGGTTTCACTCCACTCAGACCAGCAAAGCTGAGACGCGTGGAGACAGCTAGGGACAAGGAAGAAAAGCAGAGGCTGTTAGCAGACATGCAGTGGGAGGTATTATAGTTCGTATAGACCTTCTCTGCAGACAAACTCAGCAGATTTTTCCTCAGGGAGTCAATGGCCAGCACCGCCTCATGGTCCCACTGCAAAACTCACCCCCTTTTGCCCCACGGTTATCTGCATTTACTGGTATCAGCTACCTAAGTACATAAACACTCCCTTGCCACCACCACCCCTGCCAGAGCCCAGGACCCACACTGGCAGCCATCCAAGTTTTCTACAGCTGTGCAAGTATAAGATGCCAGCTGAGTTCCTTCCCACACCACTACCCCTCTAAACTGAAAGCCACTTTTGTAGCCAGTTCAGGCTTCTGCAGCTGTGCGAGTACAAGATACCAGCCTGGCGCCCCACCCTCTGGCTGACCCCCTACATCACCATGCAGCCTCATGTCTGTGCTTGGGTCTAGCCCCTCCTGCTATGCACCCACATGCCACCCACCTGATACCTGTCGTTGGTCTCCACTGCAGTGTGCACACACAGGAGAGTGGGTGTAGCCACAGAAGAGCACCCTAACTGTAAGCCCACAGTGGGCACTGGTCCTCCATCACTATGAGTATGTCTGAAACGAGCCCCTGCTGCTACACAGGCACTTGCAGCTGACATCCACAGCTGAGTGTCTGAACACCACTTGCTTTGGCTACTATCACTGCCTGCCTTTGTCCCTTGTTACTGGACCTGGAGGTGCCACTTAGAATCACAGCAGCTCTTACAGCTACTGTGGGTCCTCTGCAGTACTGGCCAAGAACCACATAGCTGTTGATACTGTGAAACACAGTGGCCAGAGCTGAAGAAATATCATGCCTCCCTGAAATCATTGCTACCATACATCCCTGAACACTTCATTCTGCACCAGTAGACCCAGGGTCACATCATCATCTATCATGCTCCCACCCATAGGTAAAAGGCTTCCTTTACTAAAGTCAGTCCATAAAGTCTGGAAAAGGTGAATGCTTCTTCAAATGCACAGAAGCCTATGCAAGTCTACAGGGACCCAAAAGAATCAGGGAAATATGTCTCTGCCAAAGTAATAGAGTAAGCCTCCAGGAATTGGCACCAAAGAAAAGAAGAATCAGAAATTGCCTGACAAAGAATTCAAAATAATTGCTATACAAATGATCAGAAAGCTATAAGGGAACACATATAAATAATTTAACAGTATCAGAAAAACAATACAAGAACAAATTGAGAAGTTCAGCAAAGAGGTAGAAAAAAAAAAGAAACAAACAGAAGTTTTGGAGTTGAAGATACAATGAGTGAAGTGAAGAATTTAACAGAGAGCTTCAACAGCAGACTTGAACAAGCAGAAGAGAGAATTAGTGAGCTTGAAGACAGATCAACCGAAGTTATCCAATCAGGCGAGCAAAAGAAAAATAATAAAAAGCAATGAAGAAAGTCTACATACTAATGGAATACTACAAAAAGAAATTATGTATACATCATTGCAGTCCCAGAAGGAGAAGAGAGGAGAAAGCAGTAGAAAGCCTATTTAAAGAAATAATGGCTGAGAACTTTTTAAATCTGGGAAGAGATTTGGACATACAAGTTCATGAAGCTAATAGGGAAACTCATAATTTCAATCCATAACAATTTTCATCAAAATATATAATAAAACTGTCTAAAACAAAAGACAAAGAATTTTAAGAACAGCAAAATAGGAAAAAAACAAAACAAAACCTCTTTCATAAAAGGCAACCCTCTTAAGGCTACCAGCAGATACTCAGCAGAGACCTCGCAGGCCAGGTGAGTATGGGACGATATAATCAAGTACTAAAACAAAGAAACTACCAACCAAGAATACTTTACCCAGAGAAACTGTCTTTCAGAATTGAAGGCAAAATGAAGAATTTCCCTAATTAAAAAAAATGTTGAGGGAATTCAACACCACTAAACCTGCCTTACAAGGAATGCAGAGAGGAATTCTTCAAGCTGAATCAAAAGCATGCTAATTAATTACATTGAAATATAGGAAAATATACAACACACTGGTAAAGGTAAGCATATAGTCAAATTCAGAATACCCCAATACTCTAATATGGTGGTTTGACAACTAATTAACTTTGGTATAAAGGTGAAAGGACAAAAGTATAATAAATAGCTAAAGCTTCTACAATTTGTTAATGGATTACATAATATAAAAAGAGGTATGCTGATATCAAAAACATCAAGGGGGGAACAGAAGGATAGAGGATTTGAAGGCAATTGAAGTTAAATTGTTATCAGCAGGAAATATAATGAGAATATATATATACACAAATACATATACATATATGTTTTATGTAAGCCTCATGGGAACCACAAAGCAAAAATCTACCATAGATATGCCAAAGATAAACAGAAAATAATCAAAGCAGACCACTAAGGAAAATCATCAATTTAAAAAGGAAAAAGAGCCATGGAACTGCAAAACAGCTAGAAAGCAATAAGATGGCATTAGTAAGCCCTTATAAGTAATTACTCTAAATGTTAGTGGATTGAATTCTTCAATCAAATGGCACAGTGGCTGGATAGATTTAAAAAACAAACAAACAAACAAAAAACAAGACCCAAACTTTGAACTGGCTACAAGAGATGCACTTCTGCTTTAAGGACACACATAACTCAAAGTGAAGGGATGTTAATAGATATTCCATTAAAGTAAAAACTAAAAGAGAGAAGGGTTAGCTATACTTATATTGGACAAAATGGACTTTAAGCCAACAATGGTAACGAGACAAAAGCGGTCATTATATAAAGATAAGGAGGTCAATTTATCAAGAAGATAAAACAATCATAGATATATATGCACTGAACATGAGAGCAACTACATATACTAAGCAAATAGTAATAGACTTGAAAAGACAAACAGCCAAAAATAATAGTAGGGGACTTCAATACTCAACTTTCAGCAATGAAAAAATCATCCAGACAGAAAATCAACAAGGAACCTTGGACTTGGACAATACTTCAGAACAAATAAAACTAATAGACATATACAGAACACTTCATCCCAGAGTAGCAGAATACACATTCTTCTCCATCACACACATAACCTTCTTCAGGACTAATCACAGATCATAAACCAAATCCTACCAAATTTAAGAAGATTGAAAACATACTAAGAGTCTTTTCTGACCACAAAGATGTAAAACTAGAAGCCAGTAACAGAAGAAGGTTGGAAAATTTACAAGTATATGGATATTAAACAACATGCTACTGAAGAACCAATGAGTCAAAGAAGAAATAAAAAGGGTAATCAAAAACTATCTTGAAACAAATGAAAATGGAAGCAGAACGTATCAAAACTTGTGGGATAATGCAAAAGCAGTTCTAACAGGGAAGTTTACAGCAATAAACACCTACATTAACAAGAAAGGTAAAAAATAAACAATCCCACACCAAAAGGAACTAGAAGAAAAATGAATAAAGACCAAAGTTAGCAGAAGAAAGGATATAACAAAGACTTGAGCATAAATACATGAAATAGAGACCAAAAAACAATAGAAAACATCAACAAGCTAAAAAACTGGTTTTCTTAGAGGTAAAATTGACAAAACTTTAGCTAGACTAATTTAGAAAAAATAAAATCAAAAACGAAAGAGAAGATGTAACAATGATTCCATAGAAATACAAAGGATCATGAGAGACTATTATAAATAATTATACACAAACTTGATAACCCAGAAGAAATCAATACATTACTAGAAACATATAACTACCAAGATGAAATCATGAAGAAATAGAAAACATGAACAGACAAATTACGTGCAAGGGGATGAATCAGTAATCAAAAAACCTCCCAAAAGAGGAAAGAAAACTAGATGGTTTCACTGGTGAATTCTATCAAATATTTAAAGAAGAATTAATGTCAATTCCTTCCAATTACTTCAAAAAAAAAAAAAACTGAAGAGTAAACGACACTTCCAAATTCATTTTATGAGGCCTGTATTACCCTGATATTAAAGACAGATAAGGACACTACAGGAAAAGAACATTACAAACCAATATGCCTGGCAAAAATAAATGTAAAAATTCTCAACAAAATATTAGCTAACTGATTTCAACAGCACATTAAAGGATCATTTATTATAATAAAGTGGGATGTAACCCTGAGATTCAAGACTGGTTCAACATCCACAAATCAATATATGGTATATACCACATTAACAGAAGAAAGATAAAAATAATATGATCATCTTAACAGAGGTAGAAAAATCATTTGACAAAACATAACATCCCTTCATGATAAAAATGTTTAACAAATTGGATATAGAAGAAACATACCTCAACACATTAAGTGCCATATATGACAAACCTAAAGCCAACACAATGCTTAATAGTGAAAGCTTCAAAACTTTTCCTCTACAATCAGGAACAAGACACAGATGCCCATTCTCACCATTCCTATTCAACATAGTGCTGGATAGTCTAGCCAGAGAAATCGGGCAAGATAAAGAAATAAAAGGCATCAAAAGAGGAAAGGAAGAAGTAAAATTATCTTTGTTTGCAGATAGAAAATCCTAAACACTTCCCCAAAAGCCTGCTAGAACTAATTAATATATTCAGTAAAGTTGCAGGATACAAAATTAACATACAGAAAAGAGTTGCATTTCTATATGCTAACAACTTGACATTGGTCTTTGCAGAAATTTCCTCATTAAGACACCAAAAGCACAAACAGCAAAAGCAAAAATAAATAACCAGGATTACATAAAACTAAAAAGCTTCTGCACTGCAAAAGAAGCAACCAAGAAAATGAGAAGGCAATGTATGGAATGGGAGAAAATATTTCCAAACCTTCTATCTGATAAGGAATTAATATCCAAAATACATGAAGAACTCAAAAACAACAACAGCAACAAACAAATAGCTCCATTAAAAAATGGGCAGAGGGGCTTCCCTGGTGGCGCAGTGGTTGAGAGTCCACCTGCAGATGCAGGGGACACGGGTTCGTGCCCCGGTCCAGGA